CCTCAACGACAAGCGCATTCAAAGGCATACATATATATGTATGTAGCTCTTGAGTAGCGAAGGTGGCAAGGGGCACCAAAACTCGTTCGGTTATGTTGCGGCATGTGGGTGTTGCATGTTTTTCACATTCGCAACACTGCAAAGTCGAAATGCTAAGGAGAACAATACAATTTTCGAGTTCTTTTTTTTTAATTTTGTATTGCTGTTGTTGTAAGATATTGACTTAACGCGACTGTTATAAGATCGCTTTGTCGAGTAAGTCTAGGCAAGCAGACAGACTAGACTGGCTGGCAAGTACTTATGTAGAAGGCAGGCAGTAATATGTCAGGGTGGTGTTGCAAAATAACTCCCCCTCGTTGTAATGAAGTTTTTCATCGGAGTAGGGCGCGCGAGCGATTGCAGCACAGCGCAGCGCATAGTCTGATATGTTTTAAAGCGAATACACAGCGGGAAAATTTTATTGAATTGTTTCTTAATATTCAAACTTTTTATTCTAAATTTGTAGGTATGAGATTTTATAGCCCATTAAATTTTAAAAGGATATAGTGCAAGTTTCGAGTGATTACAGAATCCCGCTGATTTTTGATAACTTTTTTAGCTCACGGCGTTGTGCATTTTCTCATATATATACCATATCTACATATGTACATAAAGTATGATCAATATGAATATTTTATTTAATAAAATGCACCCAGCTGAAAAAAATTAAAAAAAAACCGCACGATTTTTAACTGCGCGAGACTTACACTAAAATTTTCTAACAATTAAGAATAAAAAGTTTAAAATTGCCTACCTTTGGCTTCGTTCTATGCATAAATGCTTCGTGGACGAATATTATAAAAAATAAATCGCTTAGGCTGTACAGAAACCTATCTTTGGTCCTCTTTGGTCCTCTTTGGTCTAAGCTTGAAAGTGTTAAGGAGAATTGATTAAAATTACAAAACCGTTATTGAAAATAGTTGTAAATCTAGGATTTTTATTGCGAACATCTTGTTGTGGCAGATTTCCCTTGACATGGTGCCACGACGTGTTTGCATGAAAGAAAATATGGAGATGGGTATCTTACCATCGATAGCGTAACCGAGGGATGTACCAAGCTTTGATAGTTATTGGACTTAGTAGTGCAGTTTTTTTACAGTATTCCCATGCCACTACTATGAAAGGATACGGCACAAACAATTTCACAAAAGGGATTTTCAGCATTGTAAGTATACATATATGGTATCTTGTTGGGCACACGCTCATAAAAAATGGAGCTCTACAAACAAGTCCGTTCGGGCCTAAATTTCATTTTTTAAATTAATGGAAATATCAAAAACTTTTAAAGTAAATTTTTATAGCCTTATTCATAAAAAATAAAATAGGTTTAAAGAGCTTTATTTATAAAGTGACATTTTAATATAAATTTTCGATTTATAAAACAGTTAAAGTCTTCCTTATTTTATTGAAATTGGGTGTTAGTCTAGATTTTTTTTTTAAATCCATATGTATGTACATGCATATACAGTATCGGTCATATCTATAGCACGCCATTTCAAAGTGATATTGTGTGCCACTTATGTTTATTTATTTATTTTTAAGAATTTTCAATTAAAATTTTGTTCAATCTCGGACAAACCCTATATATACCCAAGTTTAACAATTTGTAGAAAACTACAAAAAAGTGCAACATATTTTCACCTAAATTTCAAACTTTTTTCTCGGTAGTGATAGAATTTTTTTGAGGACACAGTTTTTTAGCCCCTGCAATTTTAGTCTGATAATGTGCAAATTTCAAGTGGCTACGAGTTACCGTTAATTTTTTATAATTTTTTTGTCGCATTGGCTTCCATATAATGAATAAACTCAATTTATTTGTATATGGAAGAAAACCGCAACATCCTTGGCGAAAAAAATTCTAAAAAATATGCGGTAACTTTTAGCCACTTGAAACTTGCACATTATCAGACTAAAATTGAAAACTGTGTATTCAGAAAAATTCAAACACTTCCGAGAAAAAAGTTTGAAATTTAGGTGAAAATTTGTTGCACTTTTTTGTAGTTTTCTATAAGTTTTTAAACTTGGGTTTATATGGGTTTTGTTAGATAAAGAACTGTATTTTAATTGAAAATTCTTAAAAATAAATAAATAAACATAAATGGCACACAATATCACTTTGAAATGGCGTGCTATAGATATGACCGATACTGTATATGCACTGTATGTAATATTTTATACTCCATATAAAAACTCTTGGAATCATCGAACTTTTGTAACCGAAATTCGTATTCCTTTTTTATTGTTTTCTGATATATTAAGATTGGCCTACCAAGGTATTAAGGCACCATAACAAAGAGTGTGGCTTGTTACCACACCCATGTTGTCTGATTAAGTTAACGGCTCCCTGTGAGTAGTCTATGCTGTAAATTCCACGAAAGTATTGCCTAACAAAGACATAAAATCGCGCTTGAATAAAATATTTAGTCTAATTGCAATCGTCACCAGAGAAAACTATGTCTGGTTGGACTAATTTTCGCAAAATAGATCCGTAGCCAGTATTATCAAAATCAATCTCGATATCCAATAAACGGCACAGAGCAACCTCTCTTTGGGGTCCATAGTCTTAAGATCGAAGAAGAGTATGGCTTAAGGTAGACAATAAAGAAACAAAAAATGGATTATGAACATTGATTAATAAAAATACTTTTTTGAAAGTGGTCGCTCCAGGCTGGGCAAACAGCTCGTCCGAACTGAAATCTGTTTATTTTTCACTTGGTGTATTTTTATAACCGAAAATTTCCTCCTCTTGACTAAATTATTAACATCAACATGAACGTGCTGTACAGGTGACACTTTATTTTTGAAAGTGCATTATTGTCTGTTGGCAGATATTTACATACATTTTTGTGCGACGTACTTAATTTGCATGTTAACCTAATAACCTCGGGCAAAGACTTGGCTGAAAACGCCCCGAATTGTATAAGAAAGAAAAAGGAGTTTCCTTCAAGTAGAAAGAAAAAAAGAGAAAAACTGACCTACTCTTACCCAGCCAACGGGAATAAAATAAAGACAAATAGTAACCAGCTAGCAGCTGTCAATTGTGCTACCATAAAACTTGCAAAACAAATACAAGAGAGAACCAACACTGAAGGCACACAAAATATAGCAACGACAATATTAACGGCTACAACACTGTACCATTAAATACACAAAAAAAAGTGTTTCACTGAAGGTAAAGTTGAACATTTGCGTAAAAAAAAACGTAAAATCCAAAAAATTCTGTTACCAAAAAGCTGTTCCCCATTTACGAAATATATCCTTGTCCATCACAACGACAGGCTAATTACCCGCGGACAGTCGCGAAAAGTGCATTACCTCGAAGCGACAACTGAAAAATCGCTTAAATCAATAATTTGTTATATTTTTTTTTAGAGAAGCTTCCGTTGCGCTTTGACTCATTAAATTATTCGCTGCACTACTGTTTTGTTTTGGCAATGTCTCATTTCATAGCCGCCAGGCGTGGAGGGGTTAATGTGTAACTGAACGTGCCAAGAGGGTACAAAAAGTTGAACCAAAAACCCAAAATAAATAGCAACAAAAATTAATTTATGAGTGCACAAAGGGTGTAACTGCAATTTGACTGCAGCAGCAGCAGCAGCAGTGGCAAGCAGCTCCTTCTTGTCCACTCTCATCACAACTTGGTAGCTTCTTGGCGGTGGCAGTGCCGCTTCACTTTGAGTAAATTATCGCGCCCATTGCACGTGCTTTGTTGCTGCTGCTTGCTGCCTTGCTTGCTTGATTACTTGGTTTGGTTTGGCGGCGTGGTCACTTTCCAAACGCCAGCGCGCTATCCAGCCAGTCGCTCAGCCAGTTGTTGGTGCAATTCATTTTATTTATAGCTTTTACTTTGCACTGAATAAAGCAATAAAGAAAGATAGCTAGCTGGCGTTGGCTGGCTATTTTGAAACCGATAAGCGTTTGACCGGGCGAAAGGAAATTTGTTGCAAAGCGTGATCCGATCGATTCGACACTTTCTGTTTACAAAAGTTTGCTAGCAGAGTTTGTCGAGTAATGTTGAATTGCTTCCTCATAGCACTACATACATACATACATAACTTTTTCTCTGGTTTGTTGGCTACTGTTTTGCATTGGTAGTTAGCGCGTAGTTGCTATTGTTTTTGGATTTATTTTATAGCTTCTTGTGGCAGTAATTAAAGCCGCCCTCTTGGTTAAGCGAAAGCGGAAGTCGTTTATTGATTGTTTTTTTTTGCTTTCGCATGCAAAGGGCGGACAAATTTATATGTGTTTATATATCTATGTATACCGAAGCACTCATTCACACACACACAAACATGCGCACAAGCCGATATGCAAGTGTTGCCATTACAATTCACTTTTGTTTTTTGTAAATTTTTTTTCCTAAGTTTGCTTCTGGCAGTAAATATTTGTCAAGAGTCGCTCGGGAAAATTAAGTTAAATTTAAGATTTGTGTCGGCAGCGGGACATTGGCCTTCAAGCGGGCGTGTCCGCTGCAGTGCTGCCGCTTGGCCATTGTTTACCTTGATTTAATTGTTTTGTGAACTTTACTCTACAAATTGTATGTGCATATCTACTAACTACTTACTTACATATATGTACAAACATATATCTATAAGTATTTCGTTAATTCTCCTGTCCCATTAAATACTTAAATATTTAGAGCAGAATTGTTGGCGGTCAAAAAAATCGATAAAAAGTATTTTGTTTTGTTAGCAAGTTGGCGAGGGCTTTAAGCCATTTTGGATGTTTTTTGAGTTTTCTCAATTTTTCCTTTTCTTTTTTTTTGAGCAACCATGCTACAATTCTATAGTAAATAAGTATCTAGTAAGAATAAATACGCAGGTAAAAAAAAATTAATTTCTTCCCTTTAAGCTCAAATAATATTTACATTTTTATGTTGTATATACTCTTTTTTTTAATTGCATTCAATAATCTATAAAATTTCTTTTTTGGTATAAATATGTATTTAAACTCCTGCTTACCTGCGTTTGCGTCAGACCCAGACTCGCCGCTAATTCGGCTCGCTCTGGCAGCGCTAAATACTGGGTACGCTGGAATCGTCGATTTAATTGTTGTAATTGCAATGAACTGTATATTGTGCGTGGTTTGCGCATTTTCTTGCCTTTGCCATTGACGCGTAAGCCGGAATCTTCGCATTTGTCGGATATGGAGAAATCTGCAAAGTTCGAAAAAGTAGAAGAAGAATAATGCATTATTTTATTTCTAACTTCGGTACCTAAAGTTTAAAAATATGAAAGCAACTTAAATTTTAGATCAGTCCCATAAATAGCATATAACCAGGTAGCAATAAGGTTACGATATTTATAATAAAAGTTATAATTTAAAATTTTATTTCTATTTTACCCACACAATTTAACTATTTTTTGATGATTTTTAGTTTTTTGTCTATTGCAACCGTTATTTTCATATTAAATTTTTTAGATCATAAAATATTTCAATCGGTTATGAAAACGCATAATTCTCTAAACGAGTTTGCCTCACCATGTAAACCCGGTGGCAACGCCAGATACAAAATTTAATTTTTAATTAAACCATTTTTGTCCATCGTGTGTTTCAGTCCGAGTACACTTTGCTTTAGTCAAAAACTCAATCACTTCGTCCTATCTTTGGTTTTTTTTTTAATTTAGAAAAAATCCTTTTCTTAAAAAAATTTTGAATTAAATCATATTATTGTAGTAGGCGTTTTTGAACCTATATATATTGTTTAAGAGTATGGCGATCCAAAACCATTCCAAATATAAAAATCGCTTAATAAAATACGGCAACAAAATCAATATAAATATTTTGAATTACTCTCGAAGTAGACGAAATGTAATTGTCTGAGCAATTACCCTGCAAACCAAAGTTCCCGAAATCTTAACGAAATCTTTAGGAGTATCTGATTTCTGTAACGATTTTTTTCCGAATCTTCAAAGAAAATTATATGAAGTGGTTGACACGAACTCGTAAAGAAATTTCTGTACGAAAAATAAAGAAAATTCTGAAAAAAGTCTGCAAGAAATTCTTCACAGAGCAGCATTATTTTCATTTCTTCACCGATTTTCTTCCGAAATTTCGTAAAAGAATGGAAGTGTGCGTAATTTATTTCATTTTAGAAAATTCGGAAAAAAATCTGATGATATCTTTCCGAATTCGTTAAAATTTCTTTACGATTCAGAATACTCTGAAAAAATGGTTTGCAGGGTACTCACTAAGTGTTTGTATGTCTTTAGCCCAATTTCTCACTACATGCATGCACATACTTATGCATGTACATATCTATCACTTACAACAATAGGCGAAAATAGCCTACAGCCAAACGCGTTTAGTGTAATTGCATTCATTAAAACCAAAGTTCAAAGCACTTCAAATGTAAACAATCGCGCATACATCCTACTACTACACACATACAGCAAACTAATAGTTAATTTTATATTTTTATTTTCTTTTGTATTTTATTAAGTAGTAGTTGTGTGCGTGGCATAAACATTTAAAACAAAAATAATAAATAAGAAACAAATTGCAAAATAATTTAATAATTGTCAACAATATTGTCCCATGCAGCAGACGAGCTGAATTGCTCTCCACAACACATTTTCGCAGCAATACTTGTAATTAACCGTTATAGCGCTATGAAAAACTATTATTAAACAAATCGACAGCCACTTAACGATTAGATGAATAGTCAAATTGGCCTGCCAGGCTGTCAGTGTATGCCAGCTATAAATTATAGCTGTGTAAGTTGGTGTACCCGGGGTGTACCCTTTATGCTGCTTTTTGTTTTGCAAAAAGGTTTTTGCTACTCACTAATCAAAAAAAAAAAAAAAAACCTTTTCTGCAATTGGTGCACGCATATTTGGCCTTCACAATGTCATACGCTGTTGCTTTCAGGGAGGCCTGCCACAGCTCTTTCCGTCACCCCGCTAAATTCAGAATGAAATAATTAATTGTGGCAATCGAAATTGTAATAGCAGACATTATAATTACATATGTAGGCAAAGGCTGCTATTAAACGGATGTGTGTATGTGCCTATTCACTTGCAAGAGCAAACTACATACACTGAGGGATATAATGCATAGTAAAAATGAATACTTTATATTTGATTATCGTTTAAAAATGTTCGTATTTAAAAATAATATTTTCATACAAAATTTATTACGCACGTATTTGACTGTTCACATCTGAGTATGTATATGTAAGTGTACATACGCACCACAAGAATGCAGAGCGCCGCTCTGAGAGCGTACGTACATGTTTATCCGTACAAATCGCGTGCTGTGGTGTTGATGGATATTCAACATTTGAAAGCAAATTTATATGCTTGGGTGCGGCTGAGTGTGCAAAGATGCTTACCACAAGTTGTTGATATCCGGAGATGGTCGGGTTCGAATTCCACTGCAGGCAACATGCAAATTAAATGTTTTTTTTTAGTTTTTGTCTTGATTAATCACTTCACGGATGCTTTTTCAGTACGAACGCGGTCATTTTAATATGCGCGTAATTGAATTGAATATTTACCAATATATAGTACTTTCGTTGACGTTTATAGTAAGATCAATTACGTTTCTATTTGATTTTAATATTTTTTTCCCTCAGTGTACGTTCGTGTAATCAGGCACTAATATTTTATTACAATATTAACTTGTTTCTATAACATGATTTTTTCACTTTCGCCTACTTTTCTTCAAAGTTGTTAACAAACGCAATTAATTTCAAAATGCAAAAGCAAATTTAATTTTTTTATTGTTGTGTTATTTTGATACATATTTTAAATCTCCTAAGAACGTATCTGCGGTTTATTAATAAACCTTATTTATATTTATTTTTCTCGAATACATATTTATTTTAAATACTTTTCTTATAATTTATGCAAGTAAACTGGTTATAAATTCATTCATTCACGACCAGTTGCCGACAATCAACCACTTTTTTGTACATATTTCCAACTCGAAATAAATCAAACTGCCCACAAAAAAAAACAGCGCATACTTGTTTAAACATTCAAACATAAGTTGGGACACCTGAAAACCCACGAAAAATTAGTAGCTGACATTTTTATGTGTGTATTGACAGTAGCCCACTGTGTCGCTCACAGCGGGGTGTCCACCTTAAACGTGCAACATGAACAATAATTCACTCATAACAACAGCATAATCATGTATGAAGCGGTGATACAACAAGTCAAAATGCCATTCATAAAGCAAACAAATGGGGTTCGAAAAAATATGCGAAGTGTTCACGAGTAGATAGTGATAGCTCATGTGTGAATCGTGAGTGTTATTGGAGTTCGCGGTTTTCGAATGAGATAAATTAGATCTTAATTACCACTAAGCTGCTGGGCAGTGGTAAATGAAATGAAATCGCATTGCATTTTAACAATTACATTGAATATAATGAGACAGCTTTGGTATTGCCAATTGATGAGTTAATAAACTTCAACAGGTAAAAGCTTCAAGTGCGCGCGAAAAATAGATGAAACGACAATGTAAAAAATTAATACATTATATTACATAACAGCTAGTTTTTTTTTTAGTAAAATAAACTGCTATCGTTATTTATTCTTTGATGCGGTGTCGATTTTCAGTTAAAAGGTGCAATCTTCTGAAATTAGATACAATTAATAATTTTTATAGCATAATTTTTAACCGACCTCAACAAAAGGAGGAGGTTATAAATTCTTCGGAATATTTTTTTTTTAATGTACATATGTTACCGCATAACTTTGGACCACGTTAACCGAGAACTCTTTTTTAAACGACTTGGATTCGATCATTGGATTATGGGTACTCTTAAATTTGTATACAAGAATTGAAGTCGGTTTTGTTTTTTGCTTAAAAATTACTATTTTTTTTTAAATACCTGAAGAAGCAATTTAAGAGGCATTTAAAAGAGTAGTTTTAATTGAGTTAAACCTATTATAACTCTTTATTATTTAGTAGCGGCAATTTCTTAGTTCTAAAGCGTTTGTGTGTGAATGTATTAAGCCAGAAAACCAATATCGGACATCTCATCATCTTTAAAACAGAGCTGACAATTCAGTTAACCCGGTGCGTAAGCGAACAGAGACGATTGTGATGGGTTAAATAAGAAGTGGCTAGCCTGATTTCAGTTGGGGTCAAGAGACTAACATCCTTCGTTACAAAAGGATAAAACCATGGTTGAACGAGTTCTTCTTGATGGCTGATTTAAAGGTCAACGATTCACCACTTTTCTGCTCGCGATGTTTGAGTTCCGGTCGCCTAAAGAAGAATTTTACATGTGAAAGCAACAACAAAGTTAGCTAGCACGGTTAGACGATAGCGGTATGACGTTATCACAATCCTGGGATCCCGGGATTAGTCCCGGTATTCAGATATGCATTAATTACTTTTCAACAACTTAAATTGAAAAAATTGCTTCTATCTCTCCTACCATAAAATAAATAATAAATACATGGGTTTGAAACCTACGTTTTTATTTAAAGTGGCGTTTTTTTATTTTTTTCTCTCTGACGCCGGGATTTATTTTAAAGGACTTTGTAAAATTATTTAAAAAATTCAAGGCAATGTAGAATAAAGATATGGGTACCAAATGAAAGAGCAATTTAGAATTTAAAAAAATTAAACTTTTTGGATTCACAAGGACGAGTAGGTATTTTTTCAAACTGATAAAGTTAGAAGGACGAAACTCTAGGAAGTTATCGAGTTTATATAAGTCCTTAACATATAATTTTTTCAAAATCAAATATTTCGAAATTTCATGGATAAAATTTTAAAAGGACATTTTCAATATTTACCAGTCCTTATGCACCAAAAAATTAATATAATTAGATTCTACAGAATTTCCTCTTTAATTTTATACCCATACTTCTCTAAGCGCATTTCACTGAATTCTTTAAATTATTTTTGAATTACTGGCGTCAGAGTGAAAACCTTAGAACGCAATTTTTTCGCCCCACGGTTTTGCGGATTTATTGATTTTTGTGTGTAAAATTTACTATCGCACGGAGTTATATGTATAATGAGCAAGACAATTAAAAAAAAAAAATATTATTAAATAAAAAAAGAAATATACTGGTAAAGAAAAGGAGTTTCTATTATAGTCTTCAGTGCAGATTACAAATCCCGAAAATCCCGGGATTATTTCCCAAGAATCCCGGACTTTTCGGGACCTAAAAAGGGCCGGGATCACGGGAT